AGGTTTAAAACTTGTTTTACAAGCACTGTTTTATCTCAGACATTTGTTTTCAAGATTAATTTTGATGTCTTTTCAGTCAATATTTTTCACATTAAGAAGTGCCATGTTTTTCTTGTGTATTAATGTTGTTTGTTATTAAGCACAAAGCTACACAAAGGGCTATCTGTGCTTTGCTCACAACAGGTTTCTAGTGGTATAAATCTGCAGACATACCGCTGTGCCACTGGGGAGCCTTGCATATTGAACTGGTCAGTTTTAGAACATTATGTATATAATATTCTTGTACAGTTTGGTATCTCTTTTTTTTAATACTGAGTAACATATACTTACCTTATTGCTTTTCCTTTCTTTAGGTTACCAAAAAATGGTGTTATATCTGGAAAATTACATAAAAAAGTGTATATCTCTAACTTAATTATCATTAATTTAACTCATATTAGCCACTTTTTAGTGATGTCAGACTTTTCATAGTTAAATGAGTATAAGATGTTAAAGTGTAATTACATGTTTGTTTGTTTTTTTTTACTTCTAATTTTTTGTTCACTAGGTTATAATCCCTGGTGGCCAAAGTTAAGCAAACCCATAATAAACATTGAAGTTAAGCAACAGAAATGTGTGGTGTGTTAAAACAAACTATTCCTGAAACCCTGAATAATCAAAGGGGTTCATGCATGTTATGGAAAGCAGTAGTAACTGAACTTGGTGCTATTCAACTCAAACTAGAAAAAACATGAATCCTGTTTAAGATGTGAACTTAGGAAAAGTTAAAATTTATAGAAAGATAAACTTATAATATACTTAAACAGCATAATGATCCTTAATCCCTCAAATTGAAACAAATAACGTTTGTAAGCTAAATGAAATAGTTATTGATAAAAAAAAATCAAACAACCAGTATCTAGTCCTGATGATGGCAGCAGCTGTTGCTAAAACTAGTTCTGTCACCTTTTTTGTCAGTAAATCATGACAGTCATACATTAACAAAGTTAAAGTAACTTCCATTTCACAATTAGTTGATGAATAAAAATTATCAACAAGTTTTCTTGCCTGCTTTTAGAGTACAGAAAGTAATCCACTTTTTTCTTTCTTATTTGTGTAATTTGTTTAGTGAATAATTTTGTTACTTGTATATAACAACTTATTTTTCACATTCATTACATTTCAAGTTATCCAAATCAACAAGACTAGTATTTGATATGTTCTATACGAGTGATTTCTAAGTGTGATTTGATGAAAGTTCAGCCAAGGTTTGCCCTGTGTGATAGATAGTCCAGGTATAGCAGGATGATTTTTTGATTCTCAAGCACATAACTTATCATGTTAATATCAAAAGTTTTCTTTCAACTAGCAAGGAAGTATGAAGTACACACAGTGTTATTTTCAATAGGCCACAATTATTAAAAATGTTAACTTTCTCATCATCTGACGCAATGTTTCCACTCTTTAAAGTGGTGCAAGCATCAATGCTCTTACCTTTATTAAAACCATTTAAGTAAGTCTAGAATCATACAGAGTAATAGAAAATGAATCCCAGCTTTTCTACAGCCTTGGCACTGGAATAGATTATACATAGTATAACATTAACTGGAATGCTAAATGATGATAATGATTTTCTTTTAAACTTAAGACTATTTTCCTACTTCACACAGCAATGGATGTACGTTTCGGACAGAGCTTAGAACTACTTGTTTATGATTACTTGAAATAACACATTTATATATTTTGGAATTAAATACTTAATTTTTTATGATTTTTAAAAATAATATTTTTTTCACTGTGTTATCCTGTATTATTGTATGGCCACTTTCATTCCTAAGTTACATATGCTTCACTGGAGATTTAATTTATAAGCCATTTCTTGAAACTTTTAGTTATCTCACTCAACTCTTAAAAGGTATCATGTGTTACAGTGTTCAGACCATACATCTTAAATACTTCTACATAATTCGATACTTACCCTAACTTCATCATAATGTTGTTTCATAAGTGGTGGTCCTTGAACACAAGTCCATTATATGTCCAGGTTATACAGCTGTGTTTCATTTTCATGTTGCAGTTAAGGAAGCTTATGTTAGTGTTTAAATGTCTGTATCCAGTGAAATTGACCCTCCATACACATCATATCTTACATCTTTAACAACCAGTAAGTTGAATAAATATTAGGATTAAAAACCTATTTTCTTGAGCCCCAGTTTCACTGTGATCAAATATATTCTTATATTTGACTCTCTTTCCTATATGAGAATATAAAGATTTAACTTGAAGTTCATTACTAATCTGACAAAATTGCATACTTATTTGGAAAAATTAAATTGTTTCGAAGGTATGATTTATTTTGGTAGTCATCTGTTTTCCTATTTAGTCATAAAATAACCCAAAAATAAAAAAAATGTTTAATACTAGAAATAAACACTTAGTAATCATGTTCTGTGCATTATATAAAAATCTTTGTTACACTGCGTTTTTCAAGCCTTAACTTGCCTGATGGATGAGAAATCTGGAGATCAGAGTAATATTCAGCTCAGGTCTGTCAAGCAAGATCAAGTGACCATTATGAGATTTGAATATACAGGTCTGACTTCTATGGAATCCTTTAAGAAATTTCCACAAATGGGAAGGTTTACACTATGAGTTGAAAATACTTTTAAATATGCAGCATCTAATTATAACAAATCGTGTACATACAATTATAGCATCTAGAAGAATATTACGAATTTCCAATTCCTAGCCTTCAGCAAGTAGTAGTCCATTATAAAACAGCTAATTTCTATATGTTATGTATAACGTATTGTCTTCATACTATAGACACTGCATAGCTACCAATTCAGTAGTAAAATGGGAGATAAATCCTGTATATAGTCTGGTTAGTTCATCTCATTCGGAGCTAAAATTCAGTAATTATGATATCTTATTATTTTTAACTTGAACAGAAAAGTAAATGAATACTGTGACAGCAATTATTAAATGGTAACTGAATATGTTATTTGAATGATTTTTACAAGGTATAAATACATGAAAACATTGTATATAAATGTAACATACTCAGTTTACACAAACTGATGGCTGCTTTAAAAGGCATGAGCCATAGGCATGTTAATTGCAAATCATATATATATATATATATATATATTCACTCAGTGGTACATTATATTCTGGAGATCTTGAGTTTAAACAACAATTCCTATTGATAAACAATTTAACATTAGAACATTAAATAATTATGATAATTTATGATTTCTTTTCTACAATTTTACTGGACAAAATGTATATTAAGGCTCTCTTAAACAATAGTGCAAGCAGCTGATATTTATCTATTATGATTGGTGTATTTAGTAAGTTTTTTATTCTACATATAACTTGTGATATTCAAACATTAACAGATGTGTTTACTAACATTTAACACAATTACGAAAAACGTTATAGATAACACCATACGTTTTTTCACGTGCACTACAGATAAACACCTTAACAAAGATATTTATGATTGATTAATTATTATTTATCTTCAAGTTGTACCATCACTGTAGGAAAACTTTTAAAAGTAACTGGGTGAAAACAACGAGAGTCCTAGTCCAGTAACGAAATGAAATTATGCATCCAAGCATAACAAAAGATCCGAAGTTTATCAATTACTTGGTCTTTGGTAACAGAATTTAATCCAGAATTGTATTATAATTAACAGGGTATACAAGTCACAGAAAAAAAAAATACCTACACTTTTATCTAATAACTATAAAATATTGTGAAAAAATTACATGGTTCAATTAATTCCTTTTATAAATATTTTCACTGATGCAACCTTCAAAATGCAATTTTATTAAGATACTAGCATAAAAGCCCATCAAAAATTATGGGAAACCACTGGAAACTAAAACTATTCTGTCTAAAACTGGCAATACACAAGAGGAATAAATAAAAGAAATATAAAATTTTCCTTTCCCAGGAACATGCTACATATTGCTCATGAATCCACTACATATAACTGAGCAAATTTGTTACATATTGGTGCCTTTGGATAAAAGATTAAAACATATTATGACCATGTGATTGTATACACACCTGTTGTTCTTCTGAGGAAAAGTTGTCCTCTTCCCTAAGGATATTTGGTATCTTCAGTCTGCTTTAACAAAGGTTTTTATGTAATAATTCCAAAGTATAGATTTGCACTAATTTTTTACTTATTTTTCACAAGAGTCATATCAGCTTTCCTATTTGGATCCCATCTATCTTGACATCATAATGATGTGGTGTCACACACATAATGCCATGCCTGACCTGCTCTTGGGAACTTCTTCCTCAACAGGTTTTTATATAGCATAAAAAGTGCCAAAATTTATGCCTATGTTAGTGATTCAATTCAATTCAAATTGGGAAAAGGCAATCAAAAGAGTAAGTATTATAGGAGAAAAAATGGAATTGACTCATGTAATTCACAAAATTCATGCATGACTGGCTGACTGACTGAACGACCAACA